GCTCTCTACTTCCATGCCATGGAGCATTTGCTTCACTGATTTCACTGTATATTTGCATCGTTTTAACGGGCATAAACACAGAGTCGCATACACAACATGCGCATGTAATTGGATGCATCAAAAGTGAGTGAACAAGTCCCGATTCAAACATTTTTTAATTGAATAGCAACCATTTCAACACTCGCTTCTTGAGTCGAAACCAACGATTGCTTGTTTGTTTTTCGGATAAGTTTGCATTAGCATGGAACATCCCGTGAATCATGCTCTGTCAACATTTTGGCACTAGCGTTGCATGCTAAAAAAGCAGCAGTTTCAACAAAATTAAACACTATTTCACGCGATGCAGCAACATTCATCAGTTGTTGTTGTTGCTATTATCTTACCTTCATTTTGACGATAGTTTTGCACATTTGGCTGAACCATTTCGGCAAACAATTTCTCTCAACTTTGATGCGCGTGATATTTTTTTCCCTTATGCCCTAATGATGGCGTACGCGATAATAAATTACAATGTAAATAATTTGCACGGATGAAATCAAGTGAAGTGTAGTGGTTTACTGCATACAGCCAAAACTAGCTGACGTTTGTTTTCCAATTCAGCAACTAATGAGATCTCGATGCTCGTACAATGTTTACCGTTCGTTTGGTAAGCGTTCAAAGTAATTTGAGTAAATATTTGTGCGAGAATCATCGGTTTGGCTGTATGATGTGCACATATTCGCCCAAGAAAATGGGATGCATCGCCTTTTCCACTGTTTATACCAAATAAACGTGATACCCAAAACCAAATGCATGTAATTAGGTAAAATGAAGACTAAAGCGTTTTGTTTCGTGATTGAAAGAGCAATTTCATGGAGAAATCCTTCCAATGTGTTTACTGAAGCCTTTTACAAAACCACATACTCCACAGCACACTGATAAATGCTCACTTGCCTGTATGTATGTGCGCACGGTATTGCACATCAATCAGAGCATTACGCAATGCATGACGAATTTGTGATTTGTACGAATCAAATCTGAAGTGGGATAATACTTCTCATCATCACCGATAAACCAACAATGGCTTTTAAGCACTGCAACGAATCGGTTTTAATATGATTAGTCGAACGACTATTTTCTGTCACTCGAGATACCGACACATATGATGGCATTCCGATTCAATTCAGAGCCCTTTTCACGGAATGTTGGCGACATTGTATCAAAATATCAATTTGAACTCTCCTAGTTCAACAAAGCATCACATTTTTTTTTTTCATCTTCTGCTCGTGAGATTAGCCGCTTTGAAATTCCCAACGGACAAGTTTTTGCAGTACAACGCCTTGTCACCACCACACATATATCACGGAATGAACATAACATCAATGGCATCATTAAATTGTATTGCATTGTAAATAACACAGCGAACATATCGTCGGGCAATTCTTGACATGAACAATACAACGATCGATGCTACTACACAGCACACATTCCACCGCCCGTTCTTGGATTAGTGTAAATATTTATTGCATTTAATGCATTTTATAGAGCGAGAGCGAGCAAAAGAAAAGCGAAAACAGCAACTTGATGACAGAAAAATCTTTCCGGCTTAGCTGCAGTGGCTGCTATTATCAGCTTTGGTTGCGATGGTAATAGACAGGTGCTGGTGTAGCTGTTGCTGTTGCTGTTACTGCTGCTGCTGCTTGTGATATAAAAGTATTTGTGTGTGCACTGTGCACTGCAACTGAACTACATATTTTCCATTAAGAATGTGCTCCATGTGGAATTTTAAGTACCATTTTCACTTTATGGCATTTGATAAAATTGAATTAAAAATCGTTTAGTGCTGGGAAATGTGTCGGAATTTGTGTGTTCGATGCATGGAATGTGTTCATGTTCACATCGAATGCATGCGAGAGATTGGTGTGGTATATAATAATATATACAAACAACCGTTTTCAAATCCACTTTGGTGTACGGTGTGCGAATATGTTGATGCAGAGCTATCGCATTTTGTCATGAATGAACATTTTGAATGAACACTAAAATTGTATTTTACGATTGTTGTTAATGCACCAGAATACTTTAATCGAATCCATGCGATTTGAAATTTACTGAATCAGGTCGTTTTATGATGTGCACTTGTAGTTGGCTACAAATGAATGAATTTCCTTGCAAAAAAAAAAACACATAAAATAGCATACACTTTCTTTGACCACAGAGGAGAAGAAACACAAATTGTGTTACACAATCGCGTTTTACTTGAGCAGTTTTATTTAACAAGATTCCAATTGCAATCGCAACTTATTTGACCAAATACAAATACTGCTCGTGATCTGTTTTTTTTTAAAACTCGAATCAACCGATGAAACAGTTCGGTTGCAACGTGGATAAAATTTAAATCACACAAAACTGCGTCAAATTGCCAACGATATATCATTCATCTGTTAAATGTTCACTTGAATGCATTTCATCGTCGTCGTCGATTCGAATGCTGTATCGTTATTCAAATCCACGAACGAGAGAAACCCAAGAGAGATGCGAAATTCGAGAGTGGAATCTCGTTTGTGGTTCAATATATATACATATATTCAATGTTCACATTTTTGTTATTGCAATCAATATATATGGAGTTCATTTTTTATTCAGTGCCATCGAATCGGATCAAATGCGACTAGTCCAGAAAATTGAAAATAGCGTTGACAAATCTGCATTTTCGGATAATTCACATTCTACAACGAAATAGCTGTGTACGAGCTTTACTGCGATCGTATCAGTTATTATTGCATTTTTTTCATTCAACTGAGCTGTATAATGGCGGTGGATTTAATATAATAGTCAGAATAAAACTTTATCATAGATATAAAACTGGATTGTGGCATCAATTTTCTCGGATTTACATCGTTGAAATAATGGAATCGATGATACTCTTCTTTGAATTCCATATAAAACCATCTATTCAGTTCAATCCGATTTAATAAAGAACTAATAATCGATTTCCACTTTCAATTTTTATTTTTATTTTGTGTCGCATTCGAATATTCTTTCAATAAATGTATGAGCTTTCACTTAGCCTAAAAGACCATTCTACCAGGAAATGCACTGACCTTTTTTTTTAAAAAAAAATGCGGCCTTCATTTAAGAGAAAGATAATATTTCCTTTTTTAAATATGTATTCCCAGCAGTTTTTCAATATGGTTCTGTGGCACGGCTGCTGCTGTTGCTGTTATATGTGTGAGGAAATCAATCAAACTTGATTACATAACCAATGCCCCGGACACCATATGAATTGAATTGATGTGTAACTGAAACTAGAACAGGTATACCTGATGAAGCAACCGATCGATTTCAATGCCATCACTTTCTTTTTTCCCTCTCGGTCGGCTGTTTTCTATTCATTGCTTATTTATGTTGGGAAATCAATCACAACAACTTTGTTTTTGTTGCATTAGCTCCATCTTCCCATTTGTATCGTCATCCCTCCGAATTTTTGAACGAGCAAACATTCCATCTATATTTGAAAATGTTTCCTCGCGTTGAAACACCGTAGCGCACACCCACAAACTTCTCTCACAAATGTGTTGAAATAGTCATGAATCAGACAATGTAAAATAAAACTCAGTGAGAGAGGGAAGTAGAGAAAGTGGAAGAACAGTCGAAAGAAAAAAATTGGCCACTTTTTCATTTTCGGCCATTTGGTTTCATTTGTTTTGTTTTACTGTGCGCTGCAAATGAATTTTTCATTCGAAAACGACGTGTATTGATGGCAAGGTATTTGGCGTAATTAAAACTATCTGTTGATCCATTGGGCTACAACACTATTTGTAGGAGGGGAGAGGATCTTTACTAATTTGATGAAAAATAATATCGTTAATGTGTTGCCATTTGTTTATGTTTTCGGTCGTTCTTCAGACACTGGTTTTTATTAAATGTCAACGATTCATCAATGTCACACAAAGGACACACTCTCGTGCATTTTCATGCTCAATTTGCTGTGCGAAAAATGGTCGATTTCTGATTTTCTTCTTCTCGAATATAGTTTTTGCCCAGTGTTTTGTCTGCTATACAAAATGAAAAGAATTTGACAAAATGAAAGGATCTTATGAGTCATAGGCTATGACAATGAAAAGAATTTCCAATAATCGATTGTATTTAATTCAAAACTTTAAAAATGAACATTCATTCTTCGCTTAATTGATCCCGAAGCATGAATTCACTTAACGAGATCATCGCCGTGTATTTCACTTGCTTTGCGTAGAAAACTTTTCCAAATAAATCAACAATGTGATTTTATTGTCAGTTAACGACAATCAACTTTGAGATCTTGATAATATTTTGATAATCAAATGACAAATCAACTGAATAACATCGTTATATTACGGAGATGGCAGTTGATTACACAAACTCATTTTGTCGCTATGTATGTAATGATTGTTCCTGCAGATTTCGCATCATCGAACGGGAAGTTTTCAATCTAATTATATGTGAGTGATTTATTCATTTGGTTGCCGTTCATCGGCATTTCGATATACGGAATTTATCGAACACACACACACACACATATACATAAGAGTGGAAAACTTTTAGCGTAACATTGACACATAAAGTGTGGGCATTATTAATAGCATTAAGACTAATCTGAAATGGGAAATGAAAGCTTTTACAGTATGTCATAATATTTCAAAAAAGCAAAAGATGTCCACGTTTTTTTTGCACTAGATGTCGATACAATTGCCACGTTAATTATTCAACATTCTCACCCGTATGTCGGGTCTTGTTTTAAACAATGTTAAAGCATTCCGATAACATTAAAATGAGGTACCTACCTAATTTTCGCATAAATGTTCTTACTTCGAACATATAATTCGACCAAACTGTTGAGTTATGAAATGCGCCAAATTTTAAAATCCATTTTAATGTAATTAATTACAACATGAAACACAAACCAAACACACTTAATTAGGCTAATTTAAAATAACATGAATTTGCAATTAAAACCTTTTTTTTTCTTCTCTCAATTTCAGGGGTGGATCTCGCCTAAGATGGGGAGCACGCTGCTTGTTGCTATGTTCATAGCATTACAATTTGCAACTGGCATGGCAAATCCGGAAGCAAAACGTCTTTACGACGATTTACTAAGCAATTACAATCGTTTGATACGACCTGTTGGCAACAATTCGGATCGATTAACAGTGAAAATGGGACTGAGGCTGTCACAATTAATTGATGTCGTAAGTACAAGGCTTTATGGATTATACAATTCCACATTTTATGTTCTAGCGTTTTGGAAATGTCTTTTTCTGTTTCGGTTTAATATCTTTTCAGTTTTTTTTTCCAATGTTTTCGTCTCTCGTGAGTTTAAACTCCTAGATAATGAGCTTGACTAGGAAAACTTTCTAGCCGAAGGTTTTTGTCAGAGCGCGAAAAGTTAGAGAGCAACAAAACAACATCACTTTCCCATTCGAAGATGGCAAAAAATACAAAGAAAGTCAATTTAGGTTTCTGTAATGCCGTTGCTATAGGCATTTCAAGCGATTAAAGCCTAAGCTTTCGTTTCGCAGATAGAGCAAAATGTTTAGCAAACATTTCAAAATGCGTCATTCATCTTCGTCGAACAATTTTTTTCTAGATTCATAATGGTTTGAATGTGGCCTCGGGCAAGAAGGTTCAATCAATTCAACAAAATCTTATGCGATGTACTGGTACTCACTTAGCACCGTTATACGAATCACCATCATCCGAAATTGAAGTGAACAAGTGAGTGACTAAGCGAGCGCATGTACAACTGCTCAAAACGTACATCTTAATTAGTGTTACCGTTTATCCAATATTTTATCGTCAAATTAAAGTAAACTTTGTTGAAAGTTACCCATTACGGCTCATATTTCCATGTCGAAACCATGCTATTTATTGTACTCAAACATTCATAGTGCGTTCTCGCGTTCGCAATGAAATTTAACTCGTTACATGTTTGGTGTGCGCTCGTCAGTCTTGCTTCGCTGTCGTTATTTCAATCTAATGGATAATAACAACAAGAATGCCAATCATCCAATTCGTTTGGATTCCATTCCCCCGTTTTCATCGCGAGTTGGTATAGCAACGATGACTATAAGTTGTGCAAAGTTAATTACAAAAGTTAATATGCATACATTTTTGAGATCTGCAAATTCAATTTTATCTATCCACATTACCAATATCTCATTGTTGAATGTTGAGAGTCTCGGTGCCATATGAGTAATGAGAGCGTACACTTGCAAACGATAAAAGTTGCGTTTCATCCGCTTTACATATGGATGATGTGAATAGTGTTCATTCAAATTCGCCAATAATTTCATCAACAGAATATGTGCCAAAGCCATCGACATATCCACATCAAATTCTAAAACACCAACAAAGTAGTTTGATATTGAACACTGCAATTTGCAGCTGTCTTTCGCAAATGATTTTTGACTTTACAAAAAGCGGAGCCGAATGACGAGTAGTACATGTCGATTGCAACATCTAAGATTTAATTGCTTTTGATTCAATTCTTCGAATTTAGTCTGCGTTGATGGAATTGTGTTTTGGCTATGATCTCATGCACAGCGAATTCATATCCGAACAAGCCTGTTTGTCAAAAATCAAATCTAAACACAATTAAATTTTTGGCCGATAAATGTATACAAAATGTGTTTTTATCACCAGTTTTATTATGCTGTGCTCTTTATCGTGACGTGTAAATAACCTGAAGAACCAATTTTGATTCGCCATTATAAAATTACAGAAAGCAAATTATCGCCGAACGAAACGCAAAATCAACAGCAACAAAAAAACCATCACAGACAAGACCAAAGCGAATAGAAAAACACACATAAAAAATTGTGAATAGAGAAAATAGCCTCGAGTCAAATGGCGGCAATGGCTTCGCATTCGATCAAATATACACATACATTGCAGCTCTCTGTGTTCGATGAAAGCTGTACGTGGTGGAGTCTATCGTGCTTTATGAATCTGAATGAAGCGAAAATCCTGCCACTCTGGTTTTGTCTCCCTCTCTCTCTTATACTTTGTTGTTTTGGAAATATATTTCCAATTGTTTTCATTTGAACGCAATCTGCATTAAAATACACATACATTGGGTTGGCAGCTCAAAATACCAAAACGAAAATGGAATGAAAATATTTGACAAAATACATGCGGCTTGTGTCAAATTTAGCGTGTCTAGCCTCATTGGCCCATTGTTAACTGCGAAATAATGGCAACACAGTTCTTCGCGGAGTGATTTGTTTCGGTTCGCATCGCAGTCGCTTATGAAATTTGTTTCAAAAATGTTTCAGATAAAAAACTCTTTCGACCGGATTTTCAATGGTTGTGTTGCGTAATGAAACGCACATTTTCCTCCATAATAAACGGGTATCGTTTCCGGCTAAATCCCATCATGCACACTTTCGCTTTTCAAAGAACCAAATACGGGTTCTAGTCACGTTATATTGTGACCTCAAGCGTCACTTTCTTTATCTCATCACAAACACAAATTAGAAAAATTAAAGTAAAATTGACAAAAAAACGAACACCGAGAGACAAGCAAATACACAAGGTGAAGGCGCGTCAGAAATAAAGGAGACAACGAGAAAAAAGCATCGACATGCAAATTAGCCTGAGGGTGACTATTGCAACGTGAAAAATGTATGCAAAACTTTCGTGTGCTACAATTCCTAGAGATCACTTCTTTGATGTTTTCCCTGTGTGTCAGAAGGAAAAGAACCTGGTTCTTTTGAACACTCGCACACATACAAAGTCATTTAATTTGAATCTTATCTACAATATGTCCATGTCGCCTCCGCCACTGCTATCATCATCAACAAATAAAAATGTTAATGTAAATGTAAATTTCTAATTATTTGAAAGAAAAAGTGGTCTTTTGCTTTGTGAGCGAAAAAAACAAAGCGTAGACATTTGCATAGATTGTTAGTGGTAGCTGTGAGCAAAAAATATTCTCTCTCCACCCTCTCTCTTAGGATGATAATTATTCTGTTAGTTTTTATGGTTGAAATAGTGCTGTGGAATCTGTCATTTGTGTCATTGCAAAAGCTACAACCTACTTTTATGCATCAAAGAGAAGGAGAGCACTGCACGGTGGCGCAATTTTCTCATCCATCATTCTGCAGAGTGCAGTTAGAAAGAGCACACTTGTTTGCATACGAGCTGAAATTACATGTCAAAAACTCAGCTGATAAAGAACTTGAGCATTTCGTTGTTGTTCCTCTTTTAAATTCCTATACGCAACCACGTTCAACCTATTGAGCCAGTGGCATGGATTCAGTGTATAAGGGAGTAAATGAATGTCAAATGCAAAAATATCCGGAGAAATATGCAAACCACATTGCAAACTAATCGATTTTCCCAGTGGTTTTGGCGTGAAATTATGAACATTCATACATACATTGGATTATCCCATGCATCACATCACATCGTATTACCCGTACATCATGTAAAAATCATTTACATTGAATTTAAAATCAATCTTCTTCGCCGTTTGAAATTGACATTTAAATTGAATAGATTTTTCTATCTGCTGAACACAAACCCTAATCGCATTATAATATTTAATATTTCAACCAAGCTGGCAAATATCGACTGATTTTCCACTCTCGCAAACGCTTCACTTCGAACAACCCTTGTTAATATATATATATGAATGTCCGAGAACGAAAACGCAACTTCTATTCACAACACATATAAGTGAAACAAAAATAAAAAATTTATTGAAATGAAACAACAAAATCGAATTTTTTCAAAGTGTAACAACAAAAAAGATTTTTTTAAAGTGTAACATCGGTATGTAGTAAGTGTAACAATATACCGATGTTACACTTTAAAAAAATCTTTTTTGTTGTTACACTTTGAAAAAATTCGATTTTGTTGTTTCATTTCAATAAATTTTTTATTTTTGTTTCACTTATATGTGTTGTGAATAGAAGTTGCGTTTTCATTCTCGGACATTCATATTGATTCCGTTATAATGAGAGTGAGTTCAGGTGCTATTGTTCGCCCACCGAGGAGTGTGCGATGTAAAACTTTCCAGCTACAACACAATTGACATCAATAATTTGAATTGAATTGAACTTCGAAATGAGAAATTCCATACTAATAATGGCCAGCATTTCAAGTTTCTGATACATATCGCAGTGCATTCTGCACACATTGCATACATATCCAATTTATGTGACAGTCAATATTGATTGATTGCCCCAATAAAAAACTTTTAATTAATCTGTCATGATCAATTTTGAAATTGGGAATTGAAAGAGTCAAGCGTCAACTAGTGTCATTTCCATCTGGCCCACTATCTCCCTATCTCTGTCTCATTCAATGCTCCTCAACTGTAATGAAGAGCCTACTGTGTTGTGTCGTTGACGAGTAGAGGCCAAATTAATTGCAATTTAATTAAACACAGCCAAAGTGTGTGAATCAAAATCTGCATTCGAATAGAGTTGAAATTCCGCGAAGAGAATAGTGTCACATTGAGCATGGCTTGAACAAAATGAATGACTGTCGCACGTTGTCTTCGTGAAAAACGCTAAAATAGTCGGAATACAGATTGTGTACGTAATTGAAACAATCCTTCAAAAACGCAATGAAATCTCGGTGCTCCGATCCTTACATTGCCAGCTAATTTCTGTATTATTAGAATAATTTTCCATTTTCATCTTATTTTCGAAGCACTTAACGGCGTTAAATGTGCACAGCGATCGCAAAACATTCACTCTTCTCCCACACCAGCATCGAATACGAGACAGAGACGACAATGTGCAAACGAGAAAGAACAAAAGCAAACGAAAATTTATGAAAATGAAATAAATTAAATGTCATTTATCAATGACAACTGAGAGTAAAATAAACGATATGAAAAAGCTCCTAAGAGAGACAGAGTGCAAAGTTTGCACTGCAAACGAAGAATGAGAGACAGCGAGGATGTGTATGTACTTTACGTGAGAAGAGACACAGAATTCGAATGGAACGAACAAGTCGTTGAACAAATGTAAATTTGTATGTTGTCATTCTAAAACAAATGAGCATTTTGCCTGCCCTTTTTTCATTCATCGTTTGCTTTTGACTAATTGAATTATGTGCATTTCAAGTCATTTCCAGTCGGAGATAGCACTTTTTTCTCTGCATGTGAAAGCGAGACATTATCGAGAAAAAAAAACTCTCCTAGATTTAAAATTGGCATTGAAACTGAAAATGCGATAAGACTATTCACAGCAGAAAATTTTCCATTTAACGTACTGTTTTTACCTCTCGTCCTCTCTTTTATTACTTGGAAGAAGCAAAAAAATTGCTCATGTTGTTTTCACTCGTCTAATGTAAAATTACACTTTTTTCAAACTTTGTTTTTTGTTTTGCATCGGCAAAATTACAATCCATTAAATGTTTTGCAACAAAGCGGAAACTTTTTTTAAAATTGGCTTGGTGACAACCTAAATGAAAATTGAAATTGATGAAAATTGAATTGTTTTCCCCTCGGATTGTTTTTATTCGACCGGTTTAATGTTTTTCTTTTTATTGCAGAATTTGAGGAACCAAATTATGACGACAAATGTGTGGGTGGAACAGGTAAGTACCAGAAATAATGCAGAAGAAAAAAAAACTTTTGAAAAAGAAATGGAAATTAGAAGCCGTACCATTCAATCGAAGCTATTTTTTACAGCTGCCACTCGAAAGTACAGTATTTGACGCTAAAATTTAACGCATGCGATGTACGCCACACTGTATCGCATTGTTTATTTCGTTTGCGACCAATTTGGTTGTGCGTCGCATGCATTGAATGAATGTTTATGTAAAGTAACAGATGGATATTCGAGCAGCATCGTAAAAAAAGCCTGCAAGCAATCGAATTGTTTCGGTTGGAGCTCACAAGAATGAATGAGATTTAAATTAACCTCTCTCGAATGATAAAAATAGACAAAATCCAACAAAATCCTTTCGATGAGCATTTTTGGTATATAATAATCAATTCGAATCTTTGCAATATTCCCCGGAGACGTACGACCCGAGCTGGGTATGTTTCAGTCCTACACATATTCAGTGCACATACGAAATGTATCGAAATAACTACGGATGGCTGGAAACTACGTGTAAGAATTAAATGAATGTGTGCTTCGGTTTGGTCACGTCTCATTTCACAGTCAACTCGACCGACGAGACAAACACGAACTCTCACTCACTCATACACATACGCACACAGCCACCACACAAAAACATGTGAACATCACAAATGCCGACAGAGCAGTTTTGCAGCAAAATTCTATGAAATACCAAGCGAAATCTAAATGTTCCAAACGATATATTCCACAGATGAACGACGGCGAATGCCGAGTTTTTCCTGCCACCAGCTAGTTTATGAACCATTAAATGATATCCATAATATCAATTATAGTATTTATAGAGCTTATGCGCACGCAAAAACATCGTTGCTCCGTAAAATGGTGCGTTCACGTTGGTGCTCTTTCACATACGCCTCATATATTGTTTTTTATTTCTTCACGACTCATTAATCTATCAGCGTTTGCAATCGGTGAAAAACGATGCTCAAAATTAATGAGACTAAATCATTTGCAACTAAATTCGACACAGGCAGCATCGTTTCTTGACGCATCGAAGGCGTCAAGCGACCAGAAAATTTCTCGTAGATTCATTTGCTAGCTTTTATTTCACTGAGAATTCGGCAAAGTATACGTGGATTTCGAACCAAAATTGGACGACTTGTTTTTCAAGTAATCGAAACAAAAACGAAATACATTTCCATCTGCATTTTCTTAATGAAAACTTTTAAAATCACATGTAAGTCAGTCAGGTCATTACAAAAATCGTCGGCACAAACAACAAGTTTTCGCAGAAATTCGAATACAAATTGAAAATTTACAAGAGCTTCTACCCCATCTCATAATGCAATCTCACCAATTTGGAGTAAACCGCACACTCTCTGCTGTTATTGGTGGTGTTGATGGTGGTAGCGGTGCTGTAAACAACGTCAAAAAAAACTTTTCTGTAACTTGTATACGATGCAAAACATGTTCGTGTTCCATAGGACACGTGCAAATAAATATTGCAAAAGTTTGCATGTCAGTTGCGCTTTATGCTCTCTCTTTCTTCCTCTCACTATAAATACATTTCGGTTGGATGCAAACGACGTATGCCAAAGGCATTTCAATCATTTCGACACTGCTGCAGTTTTGCATGGAAATTCATTGTATCAAGCAATAGCTGCAAGTAAATAAAGTGTGTGTTGTCGAAACTTTCCCACCGCTGATATCCATTGATGCTTTTACACACGTTCTGCAGCTTTGGATCAGTTTACCTTTTAACAAAATGTCGACTTTTGCAGGTACTGGCGTAAAGTAAAAAGCAAACCAGCTCACACCTGAAAATACGACCCAAAATAAACTCCACTTCGCCATTGATTTGCTATATACCTCAGTGGCGTTAGTATCGTGAATGGGAGAAATTGACAGCTCTTCGTCCGAAACATGATCGAAGTAGTTTACATAAAAAACCAATGAAACAAAAACTTTTGCCTTGAACTCACTATTCCTCTCTCTCTCTCTCTCTCCCTCTCTCCCTCTCTCTCTCTCTCTCTCTCCTTCCGGCGTGTGTTCCAGCTGCATCAATTTTCGTACCTTATTTCGTTCAATCTCCTTTGCATTCTGCAGAGATTTGATTTGTTTGATTATCGAAACACGTTTGAAGAATGAGCGGGAAAGAGAGAGAGAGAGAGAGAGAGAGAGGGAGAGAGAGAGAGAGGGGTGCATGCCACATGAAATAAATGTTTTGGGAACAAGCTCATTCATTTGGCTATTAGTTTGGATTTTAGTTAATCCTCGAAATCAACTCCCAAAGCAAACTAATGAAAAACTCCAACAAGTCAAACACTGACTTTCGCCCAACATTTTTACAAAGTAATTTCCCTTTATCTTTGTTAATATAAATGGCTTAGGTTTTGAATGAATTAATTTTCGTTTGGATGTTTTTGTGCTCTAGCACACGTATAAAATATTGGCTCCACATTTAAAAACTGGCTTCAAACAATGCGGTTCAAACGATAAACAAGAACTTTGCTGTGAGCATGTAGATGCAATCAAATGGGAAAGTCCAAATGAATTTCAACCCGAAAATAGTTTCTTTTTTACCACCATCAGCAAGTAGCAAGTTTTTGATAGAATGCGAACGAAAAACACTTTTATCATCCACACATAGTTCAAGCACCGTAGTCATCGTCGTCGTTGAATTTCGCAACGCAGACTCAGAAGATGAACAGATAGGAATGAAAATTACCTGAATGAAGCATTCAAGCAAACACATACAGAAAATGCGCTCGATTTGGTCCCTTTGCCAACCCACAGGACACCATCGCAATCGCCATTTTCAGCGCAACACAAACCATTATCATTATCACAGCATTGCACGCATAAGCCATAAAGTTTTATTTTTAATAGTAGTACAGAAAGAAGAAAAAACCTTTGACGCCATACCTTTCCTCATTTTTCGGCAATCATTTCGACTGGTGCTCGTACTCCCACGAACACACACACACACACACACACAGCACGTGTAAAAACAAATATTCACTCACATTTGGTTAGTTTATGTTGTCCTTTAACTTGGACGAGTACCCGAGTAAAGCCAAGCTGGCTCAAGAACTCTTTCATCCCCTCTCTTTCATTACTCTCGTTTGTTTGTTTAAGTGGTAAATGTACCGTTTAATCTTATATTCAGTTGGATTTAAGGACACACAAAGATAGAGTCTAAATAAACAAATTCATGCGAGAGTGCTGGTATTACCGTTTAGTGTAAAATACGCTAAACAGTCATGTGTACCTGCTATTCATTGGCGATCAGGTGAACTGTCTACCAAACTTGTTGTGAAGGTGCCAATGGCTAAAATGTAATGACACATTTCCACGAACGATTGAAACCAGCAGGTAACATTTGTGCAGAGTCAAGCCAAAAATGTCTAATCTAAATGAGAGTCGACATTATGAATGAGAGGATGAAGGCGCATGTGGTTTACACTTCATTTAACAATTAGAGAGAAAAACGGTCGATCGATGAACTTGGATAACCGCTTCCAAGTCTCTATGGTATTCGAATCGGTTCCGAACTAATGCAATTGACAGTAGGTCCATTCGGTTGGCACTGTGCATTAATAATGCTAATGGAATACAGGAAAATACATCAAAATTCGCCGACAAGACTAATTAAATGAATTAAAAAAAGATTTATTCAATGCCACACCAAAATCGATATTTATTCCACATTAATGTTGATCGCATTATTTACGTCAGTTAATATTGTATTGCCTAGATGTACATTCAATAAAGGCGAATGAGTTGAATGGTTGGCCGAAAGCGATATGCAAATGATTTCTCATGGGAAAAAAAATTATACTGGTCTGCGGATTGTGCGGTGTGTGTGTGATGCTCTGTCTGAAATCCAAGCACATCGACAATGTTTAGGTCTATTAAGCATGTGAAATCAGCAAATTTTCGTTAGCCAGCCGGTTACGCTCTTCTTTTTTCGTTCATTGCTGAATCCATCAAATTGTCTTTTCATTGTTTGCCTCGTAAATCTGACCTTATTCGTCTGTTACGAGGTATCGTTTTTCTTGCTCGTTGAAACCGATTGTTTCCATTCCATTCTTCGTTATCGCATGACCTAAACTGGTCTGTGGTTTTGAGATTGTTGAATTAATAACTGTGCGAATGAAAGAGAGGCCGAAAGAAAAACTTCGTTCCACAAATATCGATCTCGGGTGGCGCGAGATGGAAAGAGGAGGGGCGGTATAACGAGACATAATCTACTTTTTTGCGGCGACCCCAGCGTGAAGTTTATGTGCTTTGTTCTGAGATTCATTTGTTGTTCACACATTGAATTTCATTAAACCTTTAACTATGGGCCACTGTGAAAAGATAACGCAATGATGCCGAATCGGTAACATCTGGAGAAAAAAAGAGATGGAACGAATGGAAAAAATGTTTGAAAATAAAAGCAGCTTTATCTAAAGCTAGGGCACAGTTTGAACAGCGTGATCCGATGGACTTGAACATCTTTTTCCACTTTTAATAAGGTCTTTCAAAGTTCATTTTCAATTTGGATGATTTATTTCTTTGTGACGTCGAGAAGCGAGTTGCGGTGGTCTTGTAAATAACATGATACGATTGGCAGCTACCGACTTAAATATGGTTTTATCACCATAATTGCGTCCACATATATATATATATATATATGCGTGTGTACAACAATTCGTGCACCAATTGCTTGCATCTAAGAGATTCGGCAAAAGCTCAAGTTGTTTGCTTAAAAACGTAGTTAACTTTTATTTGTGTTACAGGAAATCAATCATGCCAAAAGTAGACGCATGATCTAAACTCTTGACCGAAAAGCCAACAATATCTCTCGCCTGTATGTCATAAATTTACCACTTTTATTTTATGGCCGTAGAGAAGATTTATGAATAGCCGACAAAAACATCCATGCACCCATTCGTTCATTCGTTTCGATGCATGTCCAAGTTCAAAACCATTATATTAACAAATACCATAATAAATTTTCACCAT